TTCCTTTCTCTCTCTCTCTCTCCCAATTTTTCCCTCCCACCCCCACCCACAAATTATAGCGTTCATTTTCATCATAGTGTCTAGTGAGTAGCACTGGTGCATTTGTTCACCCTTTGTTCCTCCATTTCTGTGCCCCCTTGCCCTCCCAAATACAGATAAATGAACAAACAAGACAAAAAGAAAAAAGAAAAAAACCTCTTGTTTCCATTTCCTGGAGTCCATCTTGATAAATACTATCTTTTCTTCTGTATTAATGTATTTAAGCCTCGACACCTTCTTTTACAGATGAGGAAACCCAGGCACAGTGCAACATTCCGGATCTCACTTACAGGCTCAAAGCTGTAGGGTGGAGAGGGGATTTGGGGCCTTGCTGTCTGCCCTTACACATCTTCCTTCTGCTTCTCCTCCGAGGAGGCAGATGCCTGGCTCCACCCCCATCCAGCTGCCAAGGGCTGTGAAGCAGCGCTCCTCAGCCCTAGAGGTACCAACCGTCACCATCTGACTGGTGTGTGAGGATCAGGGGTTCTGGGGGCTCTGCTGGGAAGACTCCACAGCTGGAGATTAGAGGACACATCCATCCATCCATCCATCCATCCATCCATCCATCCATCCATCCATCCATATACACATACACACACACTCCATTAGGAGCTGGCTTCTGCATGGTGGTTCCATCTGGGACCCTCCCTACCTCTGTCCTCCCCACTTCTCCCCTCCCCTCTCCGGTCTCTCCTCCCAGATTCTGGTGCAGAAGGACTTTCAACCAGTCTGAATGGACTCACCTACAGACAGCCCAGGCACAAGGCCAGGGGCTTCATCACCAGCACACTTCAGCCCAGGCACACAGCAGGTCTCTTATGTGTGTTTGCTGAGTGGGAGAGGAGGATGGATCTGAATGGCTGTACTATGAGCCTCAGTTTCTCCTTCTGTAAGTTGACCAACGAGGCTGTGCAAAAGCAGCAGCAGGAGATACAGGATGTGAAAATGTGGGGTCTGTTTGGGCAAGCCAGGAAAAGGGGAGCTACTGTGACCAGTATTGAGGAGAGGAAGCCAAGGAGGTGAGATAGCCATCGGGAGGCTCTTAGTAATGTCTGCACATAATAGGTGCTCAGTAAGTGGAAGGCATTATTATTACTGTCGTCATTACTATTGTGTTTATTGCATTTTCAAGTCAGTAGGATCACATACTCCAACTTGAAACTTTCCTTTCCCTCTCTTCGTCTCCTCCTCCCTCCTCTCACTTCCTATACATCCCAGGCTGGCTCCAAACTCCTATCTTCCTTCAGACTCTTGAATGTTGGGATTACAGGCCTGTACTACCATGCCTGGCTTTGGCTTGAAATTATCTTGAGTGGAAATGGAGAAATGTAATGCTGTGTAGTGTCTGGAGCCCAGGTCCTGGCAAGGGGGCCTGCGATGGTGACCATCTTGGCTTTGGTTTTTGAGTTGTTGTTGGTGGTGGTTGTAGAGCTGGGTGCTGTCCTTGTTGTCTTTTGCTCAAGGCTAGGGCTCTCCCACTTTGAGCCACTGTGCCACTTCCTGTTTTCTGGTGATCAGTTGGAGATAAGGTTTCGCAGACTTTCCTTCCCCCAGGCTGGCTTTGAACTGCAATCCTCAGATCTCAGTCTCCTGAGTAGCTAGGGTTACAGCCTTGCGTCACCTGCGCCTGATTCCATCCTGGTTTTATGTGTAAGGGCTTGGGCCTGGTTCTGCTGAAGTCACCCTGGCAGCAGCCATTTTCCCTGAGGCAGACACAGCCTCCTGGACTGCAGGAGGACACCGCTCTGCCTGTCCCCTGAGAACCCCCCACTGGCTGCTGCTTAGGTTTTGTGTAAGTGGTGCCCTCTAGTGGCACAACATGGGGATGACAGGTGAGGGTTTAGGGTTAGCGTGGTGAGGCCAGTGCCTTGCTGTCCTGGTGCCACCAGGCTGGAAGGGGGGGGGGGGCAGGAGAGAGGAGCAGACATTCCTCAGTGCCATCGTCCTCTCCCCTTTGGAATAGCGGGAACAGCGGTGGCCTCCCCCTGGCTTCACCCCACCACCCCTCTCTAGCTTCTCTGTAAACTTGAGCCTACCTGAGGCTCAGGGTCCCCTTCTTGGGAGGGCACCCCCATCCTCCGGAGAGCCTGGGAGAGGCTGGAGAGACTGTCTGTGATGAAAGCTTAGAAAAGGACTTGGGATCCCACAGGTAGCTTCTGTTTTCATTCCAAAACAAAACAAAAAGTAGAACGTCTCCCTCATCGGGGATAGAAGGGGCAAGCTCCCCAAACTCAGCACACAAAAAGCAAGAAAATGGTTAGCGAATTGCAGGACTGGAAATGTCTTCTCTCCTCCTGGTCTTCTACAATTAGAACGTCCAGCTTGCTAGGATTCGAGTCTTAGCAAAAAATTATATTTAGAACACCTGTCCTCCCCCTCCCATTCCCCTCCCCCTCATTAGATCACAAGAGAGAGACTGTTTCCCTCAAGTTCAGACCCACACACTCTGGAAGTCAGCAAGAGCATCCCTCCCTCAGATCACCCTGGAACGAATAGGGTGAGTTCTTCTTGCTCCTAAATTGGTTATAATTAGTAGGCTTGGGGTAGGAACTTGGAATCCTCTGTGTGTGTGTGCGTGCGTGCACGCATGTGCACACGCATGTTGGGGCTTGAACTCAGAGCATTGTATTCTTGCTTTACTTTTCCCACTCAAGGCTAGCACTCTACCACTGAAGCTACAGCTCTGCTTCTGCCTTTTTGTTGGTGAAATGAGTCTCATGGACTTTCCTGCCTGGGTTGATCAGACGTGAGCCATCAGCTCCCCCAAACTTAGGATCTTGGAGTCTCAATTTTAGAAAATTCCTCAGGAAGCTGCCAGACACAGGGGGCAATGGATTGAATCCAGTCTTGCCTCTCCTTTAGACATCAGGTAGGGAAACTGAGGCCCAGAGGGGAAATGGCTTAATGCACCCCCACAGCTGGACTCTGACCTGTGCATCTGGATGTCAAGGCCATGTCACCAGCAGCCTTGCGTGTCCTCACGGCTCTGGTGGTTCTGAGTCCTGAGTGGGGGGCTTGGTCATCAGTCAAGCCACTAACAGCAAAGCCAAGTCCTTGCAGCCATTTCTGTGATTCAAGGGGTTGAACAGGGCCTGGGAGTGTCGTGTTGCCTTCTTCTACCTCCAACTGGATGTCCTGTAGGGGGTCCGCCTCTTTTCCAGCATCTGATCTGATTTTTCACACGTCCATGTCCCCTGACCGCTCTGCTGGGCATTCTAGGGAAAACTATCTACACAGTTTTCATTCCGCTGCTGCACACTGAACCTAATGGGCCGGCAGCACCCACCTGTGCCCAAGGCCTTGCAACTATGTTGTTTCTTTTCCGTTATTAAAAAAAAAAAAAAAAAAAAAAAAGGTTGGGGATCTTGAACGGAGCAGAGAGCATTTGATAGGCACAAACCTTTCCAGAAAGGCAGCTGGGGTCCGAGCAGATGAGCAGGGACTGTGTCTGTCCTCAGGGAGGTGCGAAGGGAGGGTGAGGATGGGCCTTAGAAGGTCCAGAACAAAGTGGGGGGGCATCTACAGGCGGAAGGCAAGTGCCAGGGTCACTGCCTTGATCTGAGAGACATGACCTGGGATCTCACCTCAGCCCGGGGGGGCACCTCATGCAAATCAGGAGCATAATTTTCCCTTCCCAGGGTGTTTAACCCTTTGTGACAGGGGTGAGCAGAAACTTGCTTCTGAGCTGGTCCATGCTGATGGCTCCTCCCAGCGTCCCTCCTGCCTGGGGGCTGGGGTGTCTCCGTGAAGCACAAATGAGCGGGGACTCCAAGCCAGAGGTAAGTAAGTGTGGGGGCAGCACCTCTTGGCACCTGATGTGACAATCCCCTTCTTGCTTTTCCCAGACACCCTGGATTTCCTCTCAACTGCGATGCATCGAGCAGGATAACCAAACAAGAACGGGCTGCGTGCAACATCCTCAGGACTCAGTTTCCCCGTGGGTACAAGGAACAAGCTGCAGTGGGTCGCCTGGATAATCTCAGAGTTCCACGTGGCTTCTGTGGCCTCTGGGGTGAGCCACTTGCTCCCCTGGGGCTGACAGTCCATCTGCTCTAGTGTATGCATTCCCCAGGGTCTTGGGAGGTGGTCAGCTGGGGAAAGGATGTGTGCTGGGGACACAGGAGGCAAGGGGTGAAGCAGGTGCCTGAAGGCCTGGGGCACCACTCAGACTCTTCCAACTTCTAGCTGCAGCAAGGTGTCCGAGCTGGGCCTGGGAGGCTGGGAACCTCTTCCTCAGTTGGCCTCAGTGGGAGGCCGGTGGCTGAGGGCTGTGGAAATGACCTTTAGAGACACTCCGAGGGTGAAAGGTTACAGTCCTCGGGTGCAGTGTCTCCCCGGGTCAGAAGCTGGGCTCTGGGACTGGCCCGTGCTGAACCTGGTCCCCCCTAACTTCCATGCAATGGTGGGGGATGGGACAGGGACAGGGGAAAGGCTGAGAGAGAAAGATACTTGTTTTCTTTGTGGAGTAGAAAGGGCCACAAGGGAAGGCACTATGTCAAGATCTCACTCTTCATGTGTGTGTATGTGTGGGGGTGGCATGATGAAGAACAAAGAAAAACAAGAAGAAATGAAAAAGGGGACAAATAAGAGTAAAGAAGAGAAAGCTGGGAAGGGGGAAAGGGAGGGGGAGAGGAAGAAAATACAGATGTGTTCAAGAAAATAACAAGAGTGGGCTGGGAAGGTGGCTCAGTGGTAGAGCGCTTGCCTTGCATGCCTGAAGCCCTGGGTTCGATTCCTCAGCACCACATAAGCAAAAAGAAAAAAGCCGGAGGTGGCGCTGTGGCTCAAGTGGTAGAGCGCTAGCCTTGAGCTGAAGAGCTGAGGGACAGCGCCCAGGCCCAGAGTTCAAGCCCCACGACTGGACCAAAAGAAGAAAATAACAAGAGTGGAAGCAGATTAACAGACTGTCCTAAAAGAGGGCAGCAAGCAAGGGGCAGGGAGTGAAACAGAAAAGGCCCAGATCACTGGGGGCCTGGCCGGGCCTGCTGCCGGTCTGGCCTGCGGTCTAGCTTCCGGTCCTTTCTGGAGCGCTGGTCCTTCCGGCCCTTCTTCTGCCGGGGGTTTCTCTCTGCAAAAGAAAAATAAATGCACAGGGCCTTGTTTTAGAGCTGCAGCTCTGGGTAGATCTCTGTTTGAACTCAGGGCCTGGGTGCTGTCCCTGAGCTTTTTTACTCAAGGCTAGCACTCTACTTGGAGCCACAGCTCCACTTCTGGCTTTCTGGTTAATTGGAGATAAGAGTCTCATGGACTTCCCTGCTGGGGCTAGCTCCAAGCCATGATCCTCAGATCTCAGGCTCTTGAGCAGCTAGGATTTCAGGCATTAGCTACTGGCGCCCAGCTAGCTCTGGGTAGATCTGGGAGGCAGACCTTCAAGAGAAGTTTCCCCAAATTGAACACTTTCCTGCAGTTGCTGGGGGTGGGTGCTCCTGGGTAGACACCTCATTTTTTCTCAGGTGAGGTGACCAAGGCCATGCCAGGGGACAGCCTTCAGTGTTACGCCCCGACCTGGAGTTTCTGAAGGTCAGTCTTACACTGGCCCTTCTAGGAGTCAGAGGACAAGCTGAGTAATGGCTGACCAGAGGCCGGATGTGGAGACAGTCCGGTGTTTTCTCAAGAGCAGCAGAACATGGGGCACTGGTGGCTCATGCCTATAATCTTAGCTACTCAGGAGGCTGAGAGATGAGGATTGTGGTTCAAAGCCAGCCCAGGTGGGAAAGTCTGTGGGACTCTTATCTCCAATTAACCAAAAAAAGTTGGAAGCAGAGCTATGGCTCAAGTGGTAGAGTGCTAGCCTTGAGCACAAAGCTGAGGCCCTGAGCTCAAGCTCAAGAATAGTAGAGGAGGTCAGGGCGGGGGGTGGGGTGGGGTGGTCCTCTGCTCCATCTCCACTGGGTCCTCTCCTGGTGACCCCCTTTCTTCCCTGGTCTGGCAAGCCTGCTCCTCTGGTGCCCTTCACCTGAACTCCCGCATCCTCTGTGCCCCCCCCCCCCCCCCCCCCCGCCTCCAGCAGCAGGTCTGCGCCTCCTGCACCGCCCCTCATTTCCCCCTCCCTCACACTGTCTGTCTGCCCCCTCCACCTTGCTGGAGCCCATCTGATCTACTGTGATTGACAGAAGACAAACAAAGGTGAAGCTGGAGCAAGGCCAACCCCCAAGGCCTGGTTTACAAAGAGGTCTTGTTTGCCACGCGAAAGGGGATCCCAATAGCATTCAGTGGAGAGTGATTGGGAGATGCTGGTGTGGCCGTCCTCCTCCACAAAGAAGAGTTGCTCCTCTTGTATCTAGTTCGCTCACGTCCTGCCCCCATTCCCCAGGTGTCACTGGACAATGGCGCTGAGCTCATGTGTGTCTGGGCCCCAGGCATCTCTGGGCAGGGCAGAGTGGTGTGGAGGAGGGGGCTGTGTCCTGGCGGCTTGGGGCTCCCCCAATGCGGAAGGCCCGTGCCAGGGACACAGTGCCAAGCCCACGGGCGGTCTGGCTGGGTGGTGACCTGGTAGCCTGGCAGGCAGTGCCGGGCACTCACCTCCAGGACAGGGCCTCTGGATGAGACATTTCCTAGACTCAGACAGCACCTGACAGGTGGCTGCCTCCTCCTGCCCAGCCCGGCCGGCCTCTCGCACCCGGGTCTCCAGGCCCCAGGTGGAGCCACAGGTCTTCCCATTGTGTGTGCAGGGGCTCCAGCTGCTCCAGGAGCCCAGTTCACATTCCTCTGTGGACAAAGGGACAGACAGACAGACAAGTAAGTCAACTGGCATTAAGAACCTTGGAGGCGAAGGGCAGGGTCTGGGGTCTGAAGACCTGCAAGGTGACCTGCAAGGGACCAGTCCTCTGCTGAGAGGGGAGAGACGCCTGGAAGCCGCTGCCATCAGAGCTGAGGCGAGAGCGCTGCTCTGCCCGGAAGCCAGGGCTGACGGCTTAGCTTGGAAGGAAAAGGCTTCGTGGAGGAGGTGGCATGGGAGATAGGGGTGGGGCCTGGGCTGGTGGGTGTGAGAGGCCCAGCGGCTGGAGTGGGGCCCTGGGGAGGGCAGGGAGGGACAGGAAGGAAGGGAGCTGCCTGCTGGCCGGAGGCAGGCGCAGAACTCAGGTTTGGAACTCGGCAGTGTGGCTTTGGTCAGTGGCACAAGGCGGAGGCTACCGGAAGCTGCGGCTGTCATGGACGCAGAGGCTCATTTAAAATTGTATGCAGTCATTTATTTTTTCACGTTGGCTTCCTTTAAGAGACCCTGGGCCCTGAGCTCAGAGCACTGGTGGCTGGGAACACCGCCATACTGCAGGATAGGGCCCCAAGGCCAGGAGCAGGGCAGGACTTCCTTTCTTTTTTTTCATTGTCAGTGGTGGGACTTGAACTCAGAGCCTGGGCGCTGTCCCTGAGCTCTTTTCCCTCAAGGCTAGTGCTCTACCACTTGGAGCCACAGCACCCCTTCCGGTTTTCTGATGGTTAATTGGAGATAAGAGTCTCATGGACTTCCCTGCGTGGGCTGGCTTTGAACTACAATCCTCAGCTCTTGGCCTCCTGAGCAGGCCAAGCCTATAATCCTAGCTACTCAGGCAGCTGAGACCTGTGAGGCTCCGGTGCCTCAGCCTCACCCCTGAACCCTCTCCCACTCACCCTGGCACTCGCGCGTGCTCCGGTGGGTCACGGTGCCTGGCGGGCAGGCCGGCAGGCACTTCCCCTTGTACAGGTGGAAGCGCCGCTTGCACCGGATGCAGAAGTCTTGGCTGAAGCAGCTCTCGCAAGTAGCCCCACATTCTGAAACAGAGCCGGGACACCCGGGGGTGAGGGCAGCCGCCAGGGGAAGGGGCCCTGAGGGGCTCCTAGGGTGCCATGGGCTCTGAGACTCTGGGGTTGGGACTCAGGGTCCCCTCGGTAGCCCAGACCTGGTGAGGGCCACACAGGACTGCAACCCAAGAGATCCTTCCTTTCTAATGGTGTCAAGCCTAGGCAGAGAGGGCCAGGAGATCCACCTAGAGTCACTCAACAAAATGTGGTCTGGGAGTAAGGAGTCTCTGGTTCGATTCCCCCCAAGACTCAGAGGCAATGATGGCTGGTTTCAGGTCGGAAAATAGAGATTGGACTTATGATCTAGTTTCCTATCTGAGTTAGTTCCAGGGAAGGCCACTCCAGAGTCACACAGCAAAGTGGTGTAGAAGGGAGGGGTCCCTGCCCTTGGTGCTAATGCAGGCAGAGAGGGCTCAGACAGGCCTTGGGGTACAGTGCCTGCGGCAGAGTGTGGGCTCAAGGACATTCCTGCATCTCCGTCCCCCCAGGTTGTGTTAGGGGGAGCGGGTGGGGTGCCTGAAGAAGCCACGTACTTCTGCACCTGTTGACCTCCTGGCCTCGGATGCCGAAGAAGCCGAGGGGACAGTCGTGCACGCACTTGCCGTACTGGCGGATGCCTTCCCGCCGGATGAACAGGAAGAGCCTCTGCTGGCACGTGGAGCAGCCGTTCTCCTCCGAGCAGATCACACAGCCCGTGCAGTTGCCCCCCAGGCCAGTGCCCACTGTAGCCAGAGCAGGGGGAGAGAGGAGGAGGGAGAGAGAGGGGCAAACCCTATGTGTGAGCAGCCCAGATTAGCAGAGTGACATAACAAAAGACTACATTTCCCAGCTGCCCTTGCAAGTGGATATTAGCATGACATCCAGATCTGGCCCTGGTAAGGCAGTATGTGTAACATCTAGAAAGTTGCCTTAAAGGACAAGGGTGTGCCCTTTGTCATCCCTTCATCTTTTGAATTGAGCCGAAGGTGAACCTGATGGTTGGAGCACAGCAGCTATTTGGGATCAGAAGTGGAAACCCTGACCTAAGAATGGTAGGAAGTAAAATCAAAGGCACCTGGGAGGCTGAAGAACATGGAACTGCTGTAATACTGGCCCGAGACTTTTAACACGAGAGAGAATTGGTGTCTCTTTGGCATGGTTATTTGGAGTTTTCTCCAGACCACATCTTTACTAAAGTGGGGTGCATTTCTGAATGTGTGTGAGTTGCCTGAGCCTGCGGGGCCGGAGGGAGAGCCTCACCCTCCCACTCAGTTTCTGGACAACACTTCATCCCTCACTGGCATGTGGCAAGGGTGCCCAGCACCGTCCAGTGCAGGAAGCAGACGGGAGGAATCCTGGTATTGTTTAGAATTGGGCTAGAGCAGCCAAGAACCTCAGGATGGTCTCTCCGAGGCTTATGGCGGGTCTCCAGACTCATGAAGCTCCCCAACAACACCAAGTGCCTGGGGTTGGGGGGGGGGCGCTCGTGGAGTCAGGAGCTGCAGCCAGGGGCAGCAGGCAGCACAGCACCATGCCTTTCCTCTGTGCCCAGCCCTCCAAACCAAGAAGATCATGCAAAGAGCTGGGCTGAGAGATGAAGAGCTGGACAGGGAAACACTTGAGCAGAGACAGTGACGAGGAGGGGAGGGTGAAGCCGTCCAAGAGCCTGGCATCCATTGCCAGCACGAGGGGACCAAAGTAGCAAATGGTACCTGGGGATGAGCCCCGTCCACGTGTCCCTGCTGCTGTGGCCAGCAGGTGCCCAGTAATGACAGGCACCAGTGGAGACCATTCGGGGCCATAGTTGGGAAGAGTCAGAAAGTGACCAGGTGTCTCTAAGGGACAGGAAAGGACAGTGCTGCTTCTTGGAGGTACTTGGCAGGGGGCACCAAGCTGCTTACCAAGCACCTAAGCTCCATGCCAGGCACCAGAAGACATTGTTGCCTCTCCAGCTGCCAGCCCGCTCCGATTCCTACCGCTCTCTCATGGAGGTCTCCTCTGTGTGTGAGTCCTGCGGGGCGGGCACATCCTGGCGCCTTCCCTGCCCATATACCGTTCCTCCCCTCCTCCCATTCTGTTGCCTGTGCTGGGGAGGGGCATGGTAAAGCAAGTGCTTTACCAGTTGAGCTCTACCACTAGCTCTTTTATTTTTTCCAAATATATATATTTTTAATCGTCAAGGTGATGTATAAAGGGGTTACAGTTACATAAGTAACATAATAAGTACAGTTCTTGCCAAACTGGTTACCCTGTCTCTTCTTTTTCTCCTATTTCCCCTCCCTCCTCAACACCCCCAAGTTGTACAGATCATTTCCAACATACTGTCTTGTGAATATCGCTGTTGCATTGGTCCCCCCTTATCCTTTGTTTCACCATTCTGTTGTTCCCCTTCCCTTCCCTACTTCAAATAAACGTATATACAATACCAGGGTACCAACATCGAATACAGTGACAACAGGGGATATACCATAGGGGGAAGAACATGCAAAAGAAACAAAAAAAATCACATAGTACATTAAAAACACCAGCAAAGGAAAACCTCTTGTGTCCATGTCCTAGAGTTCATTTCACTTAGCATCATCTTATATGGTCATATGTCCATAGCTATTGAGCTATTCTGATTATCTGATAAGATTATCCTAGACATATACTAATTATTGCAAATAAGGGAAACCATGGGACCTATGTTTCTTTGTGTCTGGCTTATGTCACTTAATATGATGTTTTCCAAGTCTTTCTAGGCAGAGCTACAGCTACCACTGTGTGCCCTACTCAAAGGCCCTGCTGACAGGAAAGGGCAAAAGGCACAGTGGGTCATGGAGTAAGAACCAATGTCAAGTTCAGAGGCTCACAGAACCACACCTGGAAATAGCTATGGGGTTATGAACATGTAGAAGAATGAAGCCAAGCCAGGTGGCAGTTACTCATGCCTGTAATCCCAGCTACTCAGGAGGCTGAGATCTAAGGATCACAGTTTGAAACTAGCTTAGGCAGGAAAGCCTGCAAGGCTCTTACTTCTAATTAACCAGTAAACATCTAGAAGTGGAGTCATGGCACAAGTGATAGAGCACCGGCCTTGAGCATAAAACTTAGGGATAGAATCCAGGTGCTGAGTTTCAGCCCCAGTACTGTGCATGCGCGCACACACACACACACACACACACACACACACACACACACACACACACACACACACACACACACACACTAAAGAGGAACAAAGGGTGAACACACAGCGAGTTCAGGGTGTTGGTATTTCTGTGGCCAGAGGCTTGAGAAGGGATTGGGGAAGACCTCACTTGTAATTGTAATATTTAGTTTCTTAAACTCTTAAGCAAGTACAGAACTAGAAATATTTGATCAAAGTGGCTGACAGGTACCCAATTTTATCTATCTACTATCTATCTTTCTATCTATACATATATTCCACATTCATGTATATGTACATTATATATAAAATACGTTTGTATATCTCATTTGCCTTTGGTAGGGAAGCACTGGGGCTTGAACTCAAGGGCTTGCAGCTCTTGATCTCAATCATCTTTTTCACTCACGCTGTCACTCTGCCATTTGAATGAGGCCTCCAGCTTCAGCTTTTTTGCTGGTTAATTGGGTTGATTTGACTGCCCTGGTTAGCTTCAAACAACAATCCTCAGACCTTAGTCTCCTGAGTAGTTGAGATTACAGGCGTGGCCCACCAGCACCTGGCCTTGTCTTCATTTTCTACATGTTCCTAACTCCCTAGCTCGCTCATTATGTTTTTTTTGTTTGTTTGTTTGTTTTTTTTGGGTCGGGTCGTGGGGCCTGAACTCTGGGCCTGGGCGCTGTCCCTCAGCTCTTCAGCTCAAGGCTAGCGCTCTACCACTTGAGCCACAGCGCCACTTCCGGCTTTTTTCTTTTTGCTTATGTGGTGCTGAGGAATCGAATCCAGGCCTCATGCATGCAAGGCAAGCGCTCTACCACTGAGCCACCTTCCCAGCCCCTTTATTTTTATTCTTGAGGATAGGTTTAGTTCGCAATAAAAAAGAAATTCACTTGAATAAAAAAAAATTGAGTGTCTCTCGTTGCCTCCCCCTCCCCCTCTGCACCCTCCCACCTTCCAGCTGGGGTTCTGGACCGCAGAGGGACAAATTCTATCAACCCAGCCCTTGATGGACATCTTGACACCTGCAGTCTTTCTGGTGGGTCTGGGCCTAGGTGCCCTCTAGTGCCTCTACATTGTAATGGCACCCTGACATTCTGAATTCTGATCCTCTCGAATGGCGTTTGTAAGCTCATTAGAAAATACAAGGTTTGAAAAATGAGTTATTTGGCTTTTTTTGGGGGGGAGGGGAGATCTTGTATCTCCCCTGTGTCTGTAACCATTCTCTTGGTGGAGTCTCTGGTTTGCTTGTGGGTTTGGTTTTTCCTGTGGCTTGATTGGTTTCTTAAGTCAGTTTGTTTGAGCAGGCAGAAAGATGCTCTGCCTTACTCAGGATTTTGTGATCCTCCTCCAGGTTAGTTCAGTGGGACTGAGATCTGCTTTGAGTATCACAAAAGAGGGAGATGGCTGTTTCCTCTAACTTGGAGTTGCTCAAATTCAATGCGATACCTATCAATATTCCAACCTCATTCTTCAATGAAATAGAAGAAGCAATCCAAAAATTCATATGGAACAATAAAAGACACCGAATAGCAAACAAGATCCTGAACAGAAAGAACGGTACTGGAGGAATATCAATGCCAAATTTCAAACTCTACTATAAAGCCATAGTAATCAAAACAGCTTGGTACTGGCACAAGAAGAGACCTCAGGACCAATAGAATAGAATTGAAGAGCCAGAAATGTACCCACAGATCTATAGTCACCTAATCTTTGATAAGGGAGCTAAAACAATAGAATGGAAGAATGACACCCTCTTCAGTAAATGGTACTGGCAAAATTGGTTAAATATCTGTAGAAAACTAAAGTTAGATCCTTATATATCACCATGCACCAGAATCAACTCCAAATGTACCAAAGACCTCAAAGTCAAAGCAGATACCCTGAAAACATTACACGAAGGAATAGGAGAAACCCTAGGTCTCCTAGGCACAGGCCAAAATTTTCTCAATAGAGACCCAGAAACACAACAAAGCAAAGAAAGGTTGGACAAATGGGATTGCATGAAGCTGCAGAGCTTCTGCATGGCAAAGGACAAAGCTAGCAAGATCAATAGAAAGCCCATGGATTGGGAGAAGATCTTTATTAGCCATAAGGGTCTCATATCTAAAATATACTTGGAACTCAAAAAATTAAATCCCCCAACAACAAATCCTCAAAGAAACAACTGCCTGATAAACAAGTGGGCTAAAGACTTAAAGAGAAACTTCTCTAAAGAGGAAATAAGGATGAACTATAGACATATGAAGAAATGCTCAACCTCTCTAGCCATTAAAGAAATGCAAATCAAAACATTAAGATTTCCACCTCACCCCAGTTAGAATGGCTATAATCAAGAAATGTAATAACAGATGCTGGAGGGGATGTGGCCACAAGGGAACCCTACTGCATTACTGGTGGGAGTATAAACTTGCTCAACCACTTTGGAAAGCAGTATGGAGGTTCCTCAAAAGACTCCACATAGAGCTCCCCTATGACCCAGCAATCCCACTTTTTTTTTGGGGGGTCCAGTTGTGGGGCCTGAACTCTGGGCCTGGGCACTGTCCCTCAGCTCTTCAGCTCAAGGCTAGCGCTCTACCACTTGAGCCACAGCGCCACTTC